CCACAAATTAGGAAAGACAAAAGCTTTAGAAAATTATAGTGCCTGCCATCAGACACCACTGTTGTGCTTTCTTTTTTTCAAAAAGCAGTTGAATTAGCAAATTGCACCCAGCTGCTTTCTAAGCAGCCTCTCTCTCTCTCTCTTTGTCTCTCTCTCTCTCTCTCTCTCTCTCTCTCTCTCTCAGGAAGGAGGCTGTAGGGTACTTAGTGCTCTGTGAAGAAGAGAAAGGAGAACAGTTCTAGTCCATATTCTGGGCTACGTTTGCTGGTCCTCTCCTGGAAGCCTGCCTCCACTTTCTGCCTCATATCCCCAGATCAATTTGTGAGTCCTGGGGTCTTCAAAAGAAGGATTGCACTTACTCCTTGAGGACAAGCATCACGGTTTATTCATAATCATGTCTCCTTCACTTTGAAGTAAAGGAACCTGCCCATAGTAAGTACTAAATAATTGTTTGTTGAACCATATGCAACCATAAGATCAAAAGGGATATGAGACCAGAATATAAAAGGTCATATCATTAAAAAAAAATGGGAGAGGAGATCACATGCTTTTCATGACTATGGCTAAGGAAAGAATTCTTAACCAAACAAGGGACGGAAAAGATCATAATGGATAAAACAGACAGTTTTGATGACATAAAATTATAAAGATTTTTGTTTTTTTTTTTTTTAGTGAGGCAATTGAAGTCAAGTGACTTGCCCAGAGTCACACAGCTATGTGTCTGAGGCTGGATTTGAACTCAGGTCCTCCTGACTCCTGAGCTAGTGAGCTATCTACTGCGCCACCTAGCCGCTCCAAGATTATACAGTTTTTGCCCAAATAAAATTAGTAAAGGTAGAATTGGAAGAGAAATAGTAGAATTGGAAAAAATATTTGCATCAAATATCTTCAGTAAAAGTCTGATATCAATGATATATAGGGAATTGACACAAATATACAATACCCAAACCCATTTATTTCTGATTAGATAAGTGGACAGAGGATAGGAAAAGTTTTCAAAAGAAGAATTGTGAACGACCACATAAAAACATCAAAATCCCTAATTATAAAGTAATTGCTAATTAAGAGAACTTTGAGTTTTCAGTTTATATCACACAAATTGGCAAAATTGATGGAAGATTTAATTCTCTGTCAACATATTGTTGGATTGAATTGAATGTTGGAAGGCTTGTGGAAAGACTGGCACCCTGATGTACTCTCGATGGAGCTGTTTATCTTTTTGGATTTAAATTTCTAATTACATAAGAAATGTGACTAATCTGTCCATACCCTTTGACCCAGAGATCCCAATACTAAGGAATATGCCCCAAGGAAACTGAACTCTGAGTAACTGTAAAACCAGTGAAGATTCTAGAAAACAGATAATGAAGCATATCTTTTTCCTAATGGTGATAGTAGAGATACAGGGAACCAATATATTGCAACTACTATGAGATGTTTTCCTGAATTGTTTTTCTCTGTTATAAAGAAGGATTTAATCTGAAGAGGAAAAGTGGGAAATAATTGTGACATAAAGACAAAAGGCAGTAATAAAATGTATTTTAAAAATTAGTGCAGACTTCATGGCCTACCTGGATAATTTGGGAAAATGCAGTTATGATTACCCAAATTCTCATTATTGAACATGAACTTTTAAAAGGTTACATGTGATAATTCAGCCACAATGATCACTAATGAAATGGCATCCAATTTTCTAGGATTAATGGCTAGGAAATTACTCATGTGTCAAAGAAAGTTAAGGCTTATGTGGTTAATCAGTGATTTGGGCACTGGAGACTAACAAACTAGGACATAAAAAGCTGGAAGTCTAATGCTAAAAAGTCTGATGCAGTGAAACGTGGGATGATGTCCACCTTTGTGCCAACTTAGGAAACATTTGCTAAGCAAATTAATTGTGTAAACACAATTTCAGGAGGAATGATTAAATTATTAAGAAAATTAAGTGTTGTGAAGCAATGAACATGGTAACTACATCATTCTTAGCCATTCTTTATCCCCAACCACCTCTGACCTGCTTCCTTTGTTAGCCTCACAATCAGTCAACTGATATCTATTAAGTGCCTGCTATGTGCTAGGCACCGTGCTAATGCTGAGGATACAAAGAAAGGCAAAAAACAGTCTCTGTTCTCAAGGAGCTCATAGTCATCATTGGGAGGATTAATTTCTGTAGAGAATAATCCCACCATACTTGCCAGTACCACTACCAACTACCACCAAAGGACAGGTAAGCCCAATTGTCTCCAGTTGTCTGGGGAACAGTTTCACCCAATGGTTTTGGTTTCAGCCCATTTTTGGAAGCTATAATCCAAGATGGCAACCATTTGGTAATAATTACCAAATGCCAACTGGTGGAATAGACAAGCCAGCCTAGCAACAGGGCAGTCTGGCAGACTGAAGGCAGTATGTGCCAACCAAGTTAAATACCCTCAGCACCTCAACCATCAGCCTCAGCTGCTGAAAAGTTGCCAGTAGCTCCTCAGCAGCCACTCTTATTGAAAGCCCAGAAAAGAAAGTTCTCACCATCGGAGTCTTGGCTGCTGTTAAGTGGCTCAACATTAGAAATGGATATGGTTTTATCAGGAGAAATCACACTAAAGAAGCTGTGTTACCAGATCTGTTTTGCTGTGGGTACCCTAAGAATCATGAAACCTTCCCATCTCACTTGCAACTGTAACCTCCTGTATGTGCTGTCTCCCCGCCATTAGAGTGTGAACTCTTGAAGAACAACGGCAGCCTCAGCTTTTTGTATCCCTTGGACTACACATGTGTTTTTTATTAATTCATTTAGTCACACTTTTATAGTCAAGGTCCAGTTATGTATACTTGCAAGTATAGTAATAAAAATTATATTCCTTTATATTCCAAATGTAACCCAGGCTTATTTGGGCATGCTCATGTCACTTAACATAGAGGCACCCGAGGGACCTTTGAGTCATGTCCAGATTGCCTAACATAGAGACTTCTGTGTCCCCCACCTGTGGGTGGGGGTAGCCTCCCTTGACTAGCTGGGCAGTCAGAAGAGGCCGAGTCTTTAAAAACTGGCCAAACTGAGACAGTTGTGCTTTCTGGCTCATGCTCTTTTCTGCACATACTTTCTTGCTGTGTCTAGAAGGTGAAAATCAAGTTCACCTGCCATATAGCACAAGCAGCATGAATTAGACTATTGAAAGAGGAAGGGCTTCCCTCCCCTGAACTCCCTCTCTTTTACCCTGACTCTAAGAAATGAGCCTGAGTATGTTTGTTTCTGTTCTGTGTCCTTTGTTCTCAGTTTTAAGGCTAGTGGTGACCCTGCTGGACCTGGGAGTTTGAGCCCTGGCAATGTTGGAGCCAGGATTTCAGGTGGGATGTGTAGCCTGCTATAGACAGAGAAGCCCAGAGAATGCCTAGGTCTCAAGCCAGTGGGAGCTACACAGATGAGGACACTTCAGCCCAGAGAGACAAAATGAAAATGAGCTAAGATTGGACCTAGTTCAGAGTTCTAAAGTTCTTCTGATTCCAAGTTTACAAGTCTTAATACTATACCATTTTGGCTTCTGGAGGAAGTGGGTGGTATTTGGAGTAAAGGCAGAGAGATAAGGAGCTTGGGTATAGGAAAAGGCAGTAGGATTCAAATGCACGAGTGGGTTGATTTAAAGACTTTCAAAAGCAGCTGCTTCAGAAGTGAAATGGATGCATATGTTGCTTACACAAACAGAATTATTGTTTAACTCAATTCAGGCAGTGGGAGGAAAAGCTGTGTATTTTCATCCTAAGTGGGATCTCTTGGCTTCATCTGCAGAGGGATTCATTCGTTCAACAGGTATTTAACGGGCATCTGGTCTGTGTGGGGCCTTTTGGACATTGACAGAGACGCAAAGATAAGCTCTATTTTCTCTGATGCCTTGAGAGGTGCTATACAAACAATAGGCCCAATACTGTTCAATCTACCCCCTTCTTTCAGTAAAAGGAGGAGGAATAGATAGATCAATAGATAGATAGACAGAGCACGTATTAAATGCTTATATGTGCTGGGCACTGCGCCAAGCACTGAGGATACAAAAACCAGCCAAAAAGAAAGACTCTCCCTGCCTTCAAGGAGCTTACATTCTAATGGGGAAGACAACATATAAATGGGGGCTAAAAGAGAGGAGAGGTACCCATGGAGGGGTAAGGTGAATCAGTCTGGAGAGTCTGCATTGGAGGCAAAAGAGGAGTGCATATGACTGGCTTGGTCACTTCTTCAAATGGAGGTTCTAGTTGGAGGAGGGGATGGTGTAGGCATCTACTAGGGCAAGAAGGTTTCTTGGGGAGAGGGGAAGAAGTCTGGAGAGTCAGCAGTAAAGCCAGAAGAGGAATGAAAGATAGAAACAGCTAGGTGACACAATGGATAGAGTTCTGGGCCTGGAGTGAGGCTCATCTTCCCAAGTTCAAATCCGGCCTCCAACACTTACTGGGACTGTGACCCCGGGCAAGTCATGTGACCCTGTTTGCCTTAGTTTCCTCATCTGTCAAATGAACTGGAGAAGGAAATGGCAAAGTTGGCAGTATCTCTGCCAAGAAAATTCCAAATGGAGTCACGAAGAGTAGGACACAACTGAATAATAGAATCTATGAGAGCAAATCCTAACACCAGAGGAATTCTACCAACCTTTGTATTCATCCTTATTTAACTGACACATGATTGGGATATTCAAGAGGTTCCTGGACTCTACTTTATCCAAGAAAGGTACATCTATAAAAGGTCCTAGTTCCTCTTGCCATTCTGAGTGTAAGGCAGTGCTACCCAGACATAGCTTGCAGTTTGGAACTGGGCTGGTTTTCCTGGAACTATGGAGCATTCCTCTTTACATCTTAGAGACCAGAATGGATAATTGAGAAATTGGAATGGGAGGGGGAAGAAATTGGTGAAACTGATTTTTTGTGTGTGCATACTATGGACATTTTACCAGTAAATCTGTCGTTAGAACTGAGTGTGGCCCCATGTCTCTGTTCTTTGAGATCTATAAATGAAAAACTCAAGGTGCTTAATAGAAATTTATTGGATTGAGTTGAAAACATGGTTTCTGCCCTCAAGGAACTCATGAATACAAATAACTAAAGTGCAAGGTTGAATGTAATAAGGGTTGTAAGAGAGACAGAAGCAGAATATTACGGCAGTTCCTTAAGAGATAAGTGGTCAAGCTATTTTCTATAGAAGAATTGTAAACTATAGATGATGACATTGAAACATGCTCCAAATTATTTATAGAGAAATGCAGATGAACACAATTCTGAGATTTACCATCATACCAGGCACATTGATAGATGAAAAAAGATGGGGTCACCCCCTGTTGGAGAGGTTACAAAAGATAGGCATACTGATATAGTATTGGTAGAACTGTGAAAGTAGTATTTCAATGTGTAATTATACAAGGAAGGTGACTAAACTGTCCATGTTCTTTGACCAGTGATCTCACTATTGCATTTATACCTCCAAGGAAATTAAAGACAGAAGCAAAGGTGTGTGTTTGTGTACATGTGTGTAAATACATGTGTACATACATACATATACACACACATATAATAATTGTAGTTTGGGACCAAATTACGAAGAGCCTTGAATGTCATCATAAAGAGTTTGGACCTAACTAGGAGGTAGCTATGACATATTAGAAACAGCCTTGGGTCTGGAATCAGAAGACACCAGTTCTAATCTTGCCCATTTATCAGCTAGGTGACCTTGGGGCAAGTCACTTGACTTCATTGTCTAAAATGGGGATAATAATATTTCACTCTCTACTTCACATGGCCATTGTAAAGATCAAATGAGTTAATGCTGGTAAAGCACTATGCAAACTCTAAATGTCAGCTGTACGTACCATCAATAATAATAATAATTCAGGAGGCAATGGGTAGCCATAGAAGATTTCTGAGTAAGAAATGATCATGATCATTATTCAGAGATTAATTTTTTTGGGGGGGGAGGGGGATGGATGGAGAATTGGAGTTGTGATTTCATTGTAGGGAACTCCTAGTGAGTAAGATCCCTCTATCAATGCACACTGGCAGCTGCCCTACAACTCACATAGAGGCTTAGAGTGGGGGCAATGAGACCAAGGTCACACAGCTGGAATGTGTTAAAAGCTGGACTTAAACCTATGTCTTCTTGACTATGAAGCTACCTTCCTATCCATTACACGGTATTATAGGAGGGCAAAAGCAAGTCAGGGTGTTGTAGAGGGTGGACAGCCAGGCTCAGGGTCAAGAATTCCTGGGGTCAAGTCTAGCATCTGACACATACTAGCTGAGGGACCCTCTTAGTGCCCTAGGTGGTTCTCTAAGCCTGTATAAGTGGTAGCATTGTTGCATCTACATTGGTGGAGAGGATTTCTTCATTGGGAGTTTCAATGAAATAGGTCCAGTAAAAAAAAAAAAAAGAAAGAAAGAAAAGATAGTTTATATATGCAGTCTCACTTCCAGACTATGTGTCTAAATAATATTATAGGGAAGAGATATCTGTTTACTACTTTCTCATTCAGAGCAAGAGATCTCTGTGGCCTGGAGCATTATTTTCAAAATCTTCCATAGACACTGTCCCTCAGAAACAAACCTGGTTTGCACCACTTGCCAACTTTCCTAAGGCCCTGCCTGCTTTCTTTTGGTCTGGAGCTTATAGATGATTTGGCTTCCATCGTTCCAAGAATAGAGTTGCTTCTCCTGGGGATTGTAATGGATCATAGAGTGGACCCTCTGCCGCTTGGGGAAGACCAAGGTAGGGATGTCCTGCTTGTTGATGGTTCCCAGGACATCATAGACACAATTGATGATGCGGGAGCTCTGGCGGCCTCTACTGTATACCACATACAGGACCCCGCACAGGAGAAAGGCTGCATCGGCATCTCTGTTACTGCAGAATGATGTCCAAGTGTGCTCCACGGCCATTGTTTCAGGGTCTATTTTCGTGATTATCAGGTGGTCTATCTCTCTGTGAATGGCCCAGAGCCCGTGCTCATCCACAGCCAGGTCGATGTGAGTCCAGGGAGTATGCTGATAGACTGGTATGCCGTAGCTCCCTGGGAGTAGCATCCGATCTTCCACACTTTTCTTTTGGAGGTTGTATTTGATGATCTCGTTGGGGGTGCCATGATTGTGGAAGAATAAGAAACCCCGATAGACCACCTGCCCAGTGCCTTGCCAGGACAGCAGCAAGACAAGCTTCCGGGGTGTGGGCTTACCTTCCATAAATGCCTTCATATTGGTAAATTCCCATATGGTGTTGTTCCTGGAGCCGCTTAAGAAATAAATCTTGGTGGAATTATTGCTGATATCTTTCATCCAACAACCATGTGTATCTTTGGTCGTCTTCACAATCTTCATTGACTTTATGCCTGTCAACATGTTGTCACAGCCTGTACATAAAGAGAGAGAAAATAATGGAAAGGGTTATTTTGTACATCTTTGGTATCTGCATTCTCAGAAAACTTGAAGGCTTATTCTCTTTCCTTCTAGGTCCAATACCAGGCATGGGAAGATTACAAAATATCCCAATAAATATTTAGTATAAGAGATTGGAAGGGCAGTGTGGAATAGTAGATAGAGAGCTGGCCCTGAAGCCAAAAAGACCTGGGTTCTAGTCCTTCCTCTGACACATACTGGTTGTGTGACCCTGGATGTTCTAGACAACTTTCTAGACTGAAAGTTTAGGATGATGTGCCAAACTGTACTGGAAGAGGGATTTTCCTCACCTGGAAGTCCTAGTCCTTATCCCCTGTAAAGAGTTCTCTCAGAAGGGAAATAATACTCTCTTGGGCTGAGTTCCCAAGATTCTTAAGATAGGAAAGGATGATATTCATAGTGGCAGCTAGGTGGTGCAGTGCATAGTGCACAGGTCCTGGAGTTAGGAAAACCTGAGTTTATGCCTTAGGTACTTAGTGGCATCACTATGGTCAATTCACCCCATCTCTATGAGCCTCAGGTTACTCATCTGTAAAGTGGGAATGAATAATAGCACCAATCTTCCAGGGTTGTTGTGAGGACCAGATGAGAAGCACTTTGCAAATCTTACAGGCTAGCTATTATTATCAGCTGATTTCAGCATTTCCTCATTCTTAGAATTTTTTGTTTCTTTAAGATGCCCAGTGCAGTGCTGGGCCCATAGTAGATAATTAATACAGAGCAGAAAGGGACCTTGAGGTCATATAATCCACCTATGTTTGAGCACGATTATGGTCTACAACATTCCTACAAAGAAGGCCCTAGTACTCAAACCCCCCGCCCAACCCCCTTTCTCGACTCCCCTGTGGAAAATGCACTATCTCCTGAGCAAACTCAGCCCACTTCTGGACAATGCTAATTATTCTTTATATAGAGCTTAAATGGACCTTTATCCAAGGTCTACCCACTGCTCCAAATTTTGCCCTTTGGGGTCAAGCAGAGCTAGTCAGTCTGTCAGTGAACAAACATCTTAATGGGCAGCTAGAAGGCACAGTGGATAGAGTGCTAAGCTCAAGTCAGGAGGACTTGAGTTCAAATCTGGCCTCAGTTACTTACTAGATATGTGACTCTGGGCAAGTCACTTAACTTCTGTTTGCCTCAATTTCCTCAAATATAAAATGGGTATTATAGCAGCACCTACTTCCCAGGGTTATTCCCAGGATCAAATGAAATAATATTTGTAAAGCATTTAGTACACAGTAGGCACTATATAAATGCTTATTCCTTTCCCCTCATTTATTAAGTACCTACTATGTGCCAGTCATTATGCAAAGTACTGGGGATACAGAAAACAGTCTCTGACCTCGAAGAGCTCACAATCTAAAGGGAGTAACAGCAAGCAAACAAATATGTACAAACGAGATAAAGACAGGAAAAATAAGAAATAATTAATAAAGGGAGGGCACTAGAAATAAGAGGGGTTGGGAAAGACCTCTTATAGAAGTTCAGATTTAGATTGGAAGGACTTGAGGTTTAGCTTGTCTCTTACATGAAAGCTCATCAAATACTTGAAGACAACAATCATTGTGTTTCCAAATCTCTTCTTCTTTAGGATAAATGCCCCGACTTCTTCTCTCCCCTGCCTCCCCACCAGTTCATTCAATGGACCCTCATATAGTGGCATCTCTAGTCATTCTGCTTCTACTGATATAATCCAAAATCACATTAGATTCTTTTGATTATCATACTACTGACTAATATTTTATCAGCTCTGCTTCTTCTCAATGACCTCTATCCTTCCATAACAGTATAGCATACTCGATAGAATGCTAGACTTGTACAATTTTCAGGACAACTTGGACTTGAATCCCAGTTAAGACGTTAACTAGCTATGTGGCACGTTACAAATCACAAACTCTCTGAGCCTCAGTTTCCCCCTATAAAAAATGTGGGCTTAATAGCATCTTTTACAAAAGGTTGCTATGATAAAATTATATATATATATATAATCTATGTATATACATACAAAGAGACCTGTATTTATGTATATACATATATATGCATATATAATGTTTTGTGAGCATCAAACTACCAAGTAGTTTTAATATAATAATGATAATTAGAACAATAATAACCATAGTTTTGTCATGAGCTCAAGCCCATTAACTCTTGGTCATACTCACGAAGCTTAATTTATCTCCATTTATTGAGATCTCTAGGTCACTATTGAATACTCTGTGCATTTATGTATGGACATCTGAGGTCATGGTGCTTTTATTATGATGCTTTTCTTGGATATTGTCTCCTGTGAATTACTAGTCTTCTCTAATAATCATTTTCTTCTGATGTTATATCCACTGCATTCTGACTTGGAAGATCTATGAGGGCAATTTTCTCCCTCTCTATCCCCTTTCAGTTTAAATACCTCTCCAGGCAAACATATTTTTTAATGACCTTTATAGGTGCACTCCATCATGGGCCAAGAGCCAAACAATTCCTATATCTCATGTTATATTCTGTTCCCCCATGCCCGTAATGTTTTCCTTCTCATCTCCATTGTCTAGCTTCCATAGCTTCCTTTAAGCCTCAGCTAATAGCTTACTTTCTGCAAGAAGCCTTTTCTCCATGCTCGTGTCTTCTCTCTGAGGTTACTTCCATTTTATCATATATTTATGTATATATCTTGTGTGTACCTAGTTGTTTGTATATTGTCTCCCTTATTAGAACACGAGCTCCAGGAGGGCAGGAACCATGTCTTTCTTTGGATCCTCAGTACTTAGCATAATGCCTGACACATAGTTAATGCTTAATAAATGACTTATAGTCCAGAAATTCAAATCTTATTCCCAGATGCCATCTTTTTAAACAGCTGTTCACTGTTCAAATTTACCTTTCTCCTCTATGTCCTCCATCTTCAGCAGATAGCAGTAATGAAAACATCACCTGTTCCTGCAAACAACTTTGGTTTTTTGCTTAGGACTTGCTAATCCTTATTAATTTTAGGTTCCTCCTGTCATTATCTTTTATCCTCACATGAATCAGTAGAAATGAGTAGTGGTTATTAGCCTTGACAAGTCTCATGAGGGTTTCCAACATGCCCCTGACACCTTCTCTGATACGGCATACCGTCCTGTTGTCCCTGCCAGGTCAACCACCCCCTTTGTAGGGAGTCCCAGACCAGCGTTATTTTTCTCTGTTATTTTTGTCCAGTACTAGGATCACCTTTCTCTCAGTGGTATCTTTAAATCTTTCTCATTATTCCTTCAGTCTCAGAGGGTCCAGTGCCTCATTCTATAGGAAGAGCCTTAAACCTATGATCTCAGTCCAAATATTCAGTGGTCCTCATTGTCATGGTCTTCACTCTCCACTTCTGGCTCACCATCCAGCCAACTCCACTTCCACAATCCCAGGCACCTCGTTCTTGCTCCTCCCTTTCCTCCTCATCTTTATACTTTGTCTTTCCATATTAGAATGTAAGTTCCTTGTTAGTAGGAGCCATCTTGTTTTCTTATTTTTGGATTCCCAGTGCCTAGCACAGTGCCTGGCACATAGTAAGCAGTTAATAAATGCTCACTCAGTTATGCTAATCTATCACCTATTAATTATCCATCTAATCTATCAATTATCCATCTAATCTATCACTTATCTATCTAATCTATCACCTGTCTAATCTATCATCATCTTTCATTTTCCTAACATATCTACCCTACAGACTCCTGACATAGGTTTGAATTTCCTCACTGCCTCTTCAGATAATTTCCCCCCTTTATTTTCCCTTTGAAGCACTTCCATTCTTCAAGGAACTAAAGATTCTTCCTCAACTTGAAAGAAAGAAGACTTCCCTCCAACCCATTTATACATGGAGCTATCATTTGGCACTGATCTATTGCACAGATCTATTGTACTTTGCACATGACTGTGGACTCCCCCTCCCGGGAAAGAGTGATAGAGCGGATTTGGGCATCAGAGGATCTGGGTACAAATCAAAGCTCTGCTGCCAATTAGCTGGAACCTCACTCCTCTGTTGATTTTATTACTATCTCTTTTGACTTGCTATGCTGGCATTTGTTGATCTAAACTGTGTTTGCCATGCCTATCTTCTGCTCTGGGGGCTCATGAGTGAGGAATTATTTAAAATGGGCTTTCAAACCTTTTCTTTCTTCCCTCCCTTTTAAAAAATTAAATTTCATTTTTAAAATTAATAAGCATTTATATTTTTTCCTTTACACTGCTCCTCCTCACTCAAACTGGAATACAAGGAAAAAAAAAACTCTAATAACAAATCTACGTAGTCAAGCAAAACAGATTCTCATTTTATCATGTCCAAAAATGTATCTTATTCTACATATTGAGTCCATTACCTCTCTGTCAGGAGGTTGGTCCTTGTTCATTGTTTGTCCTTTGTTCTCAAAGAGGACAAGGACATCAGGAAGATGATGTTGTGACTTGCGAGTGAATTGGATTTAAGTGAGTAAATTGGATTTAAGCTGTGCAAAGTCTCCAGCCTCATTATCTCTTCTAGAGCCATCTGGGTGCACTGGCAAGATATAGCTCAACACAACTGGAGATGGCCCTGAATGTAGTGGGAAACCTTGGCCTTTTTAAGCTAAAGTCTTTCTCAGTCTCAGTTTGACTGAGTCAATGTCCATTCAGTGATTAAGACTAGGTAAGAAATGAGGCAAAGAATGACCTTTTTTACCTGGTCAAAAAAAAATATCAATCTGGGAAGGGAAGACCCTTAGGGATCATGGTTAGCCGTTGTGTTGATAAAAGTTCTTAAGTCTTTTGAGTTAATCAGTTTTATAGTGTTGTCACGGTAGAAATTATTCTCTTGGTTCTGCTCAATTTGCTTTGCATCAATTCATTCAAGTCTCAGGTTTCTCTAAAACATTAATTTCATCCTTTCATATAGCATCAGAGGATTCTATCACTTTCATATACCATACTTTGTTCAGTCATTCCCCAGTGGATGGGC